GATCCCGGGCCGGGCTATTTCTCTGTGCCCCCCCTATCAGGGATCTGAGCTACTACGAGTCGCAAGCTCGTTTAAACGGATAAGGGAGAGTCGGACACTCCGTAGCGCTGTGCCGTCGGCAGTTCTTCTTTTTGTTGCTGTTGTTGTTTTTGCTGGACCATCGGACCGCGGTCTCTGCCTGACAAACGAATTGCACTACATAAGTGGTCTCCCGACCTAGAATGTTTTTGGTGTACAGGAGACCCAACCTAGAATTTTTGCCTACGACAGTCTCGATCCGGAGACAGACGACAGAGGTGGTCTCGGAGACAACAATTAAGCTAGGAATCGTCGCAGTTGTTTTCTTTTTTTTGTGTTACCTTAGGTTCGTTTATTCGTAACGGACTATGTGTACATGCACCCCCGGGGACGTCGGTCCCGGGGCGAGCAGAATCGGATCGGCGAGGGCGTCGAGGATCCCGCGAGGTCCTCGCACCCGAAGCCAGGCCAATACGGCCACGGATCCCGAAGGTCAAGAATCCCCGACGGGGATTGAAGCCCACAAAGATAACCTATCCTACAGGTGTCGCATAAACACCCCACACACGGCGGAGGGGGTGTTCGCGATGTTCGGCGGAAGACCCCGGATCGGCGTACCGAGGGTCTTGAACCAACCCACGCCACCGGAAGCGGGCCGGTAGCGGGTGGTAGAGCGTGGTCGGCGGGGACGCGCGCGTAGGCAAGCGGATCGACGCCTCGACGCCCCGGAGCAGTATCAGTTGACGATCCGGTACTGACGGGCGGAGGCGGATCGCCGCTCGCCGCGGTCTCGCGCGCGTCCACTACCCGCTCGGTGGTAACTACTCGCGGAACGGCGGTGTGAGTAGAGTAAGCTGGGTGGTCGACCGTCGGTGGAGCGTTGCCTGTCCTCGTCCTCTCCGCCGGCGGTCGCTCCATATATTTATTGTACAAGTTAAGTAACCGTCTACAGTACAGTGCGGACTGTACTGTAGTCGGCTTACTGTAGACAGTGCGGCCCGGCCCGCACTGTAACGCTGTCAGCCGTCGGGGCTGACAGCATACGTGTGCTACACGTGGGGTACACGTGTTGGAGCGCGCGCGCTGTAAGGTCCGTACCTTACAGCGTTAGATCTAATTCTAAATCTAAAATATAGTACAGTAGTCGGCGGTTATAGTACAGTAGTCGGCGGTTATGCTACAACAGGTTCGAGAAGATCGGCGAGGAAATTCGCCAAGAGATGACGAAAAATTTCGAGGCTGAATTAGCCCTCGTCCGGAAGCAACTGGAGTTGCAAGCGTCTGAGTTCCACATGGTGTTAGAACAGCTATCGGCTCGAGTGAATCTCGTCGAGAAGGAGCGAAGTGACCGGACTGACGGTCCGGAGCCGGAGGTCCTAGCTTCGTTGAAACTTACAGTCAAGGACGCAAGGCGGGACGCGAATCAAGCTTTGGAGTCCTTAGGAAATTTAGAAGCAGCATCGACGACAGGTTTGACCGCGCCGCTCATCGTCTCAAGGACCTTGAGCAGGTCGCCGGCCGAGAGCCGCAGGAACTGGACCAAGAGCCGCTCCCTACGGGTCGAGAAGGCGACCGTCGATCGAAGAAGGATAAGTCCGCTGTACAGCGAAGTTCCAAGTCGAAGCCTTCGAAGAAGAATCTGCGACGCAGGAGCAAGAGTCACTGTAGTGACGAGCCGGAGGACCAAGACTCAATGACCGAGTGGAATGGTCTTTCTGAAAATGGTGACGACAGTTAGTCGAACCATGCCGGCGATTCCGAACATCGTTCAGACGAAGGAAACGGAATTTCGCAGGGCAAGAAAATTACCTCCAGACGGGGCGGGATCACTTCGTCCGCCTCGCGGAGAGACAAGGACGCTGAGCCAGAGGACGTCGCAACGCGACGCGTGCCGCGTTGGGAGGAGTTGGAGGAGCGGAATCCGACCAACTACCTCTTCAAGAAGTTGTTATCGTACCGGACGTACCGTCTGAGAAACCCGCAGACACATTTGTCAAGTTCTCGGCGGACCGCCGTGCGAAAAATTAGAAGAGACATACCACCGAAGGTGAAGAGGGACAACACGTTTTCTGGAGAAGACGGGGTCCTTGTGTTGGACTTTTTGGCCAAGTTGGTTCAGGAATTTGATACTCAAGAAATGAAAGAGGGGCAAGCAATTCGCTTGCTGCCCGAGTTCCTTGGAGGCATCGCCTTGAGACAGTACACTTCTGTGTCACAGACGGCCGGGTCCCATCATGGGAAGGTGTCAGTCTGGCCGGAGGCCGTACAGTGGCTATTGAGAAGTCTCGCCACCGATGAGGCGATCCGCCAAGCCGTGCTCGCGTTGCGAGAAATTCAGCAGAGACCGTCTGAAGACGGGATGGAATTCTACATCCGTCTGACAGACGCGAGTAATAGATGTGGAAATGTTTATTCAATGGAAGAGCAGATGACTATGTTCAAAGAGGGGCTAGATGCGAGCATCAAGCCCATGGTGTCTCAGTATCGTCAAGATAGTCGGGACATTTCGTTTCTAAGGTTGGTAAATTACGCTAAGGCGCATGGCTCGGCGAGCCGCGCCAAAGAGAGGAAGACCAAAAAGGTCACGATCGAAGCACCAGCGACGCTGAGGGTGGGGAGCAAGCCGAAGGCACCTCACCCGATTCGGAAAAGTCGCGCCGCAGTTCATCTGGCAGATTCAATTTCAGGCTCGGAGGGACGCAGTGCGCAAAGGAGCAACGAAAATTATTATGACGGAGCTTTTGTCGCCGGAGGCGAATTTTATGAGCCATCGGAGGGCTACGGATACGGAGAATACGGAGGGAGTGGGACGTCAACTCTACAGACGCCCACGTGCGCGACGGATTCACACAGCGACACCACGGCTCCCGTATTAGCATTCCAAGGGCGCGGCCAGACGCCGACGCCGCGCCTCCCGATGAAGGACAAGGGTACCCAGTTCCGACGTCCAGGCTGGACAGGAAGGCCGCAGGTCAATGGACGGCCGAGGCCGCGGTACCCCGTCAAGAAGCATGGGCTTATGTGCTTTCATTGCTACGAAAAGGAGCACGCCGCGCCCAAGTGCATACTTTCCCTTCGGGAAATGCACAAGGTTCTGGGGAACTACGAGGCGTTGTCTCCGATGGAGAGATTGGGGATTCCATCGACCAATTATTTGAGGGTCAAAATTTGGTTCGATTCTCAGACGGCGAGCACACCGAGTGCCTCCGCCAACGGGCCGAACCGGCCGTCAAGAGGACCACCCGCGGGGCCCTGGTCGGAGGATAAGAACCCGCAGCAGCAGGAAAACTAGAGAGGGGAATCTCGCATGAGTCGCGAGAGGCACAGGGTCGACGTACTGTGCCCGGGGTTCAGCCCCGTTCCCCGTCTCTAAGGGAAAAATCAGGCCTCGATGAGGAGGTTGTTGGATTGGTGGATAAGCCGAAGGGGCCGACTCAAGTCAAGAAAATCTTGAGTCGAGTCAAGGATCGTCCGCTGGAAGAAATTCGGAGACCCTGGTACAGGGTTAAGCGAAGGGAGAGTCCCGAGAAGATCTTGGTTCTTGCGCGAAAAAACTACAAAGTTTACGCGGATATCGGACCAACGGTCGCATTGATGATCCGGGTGTTGTCTGTATTAGAAACCGGCTCGGGACCTAACTTTGTGCGAAAATCGGAACTCCCGGCTGGAATGGAATCTCTAGTGTCCTTCGGACCGACCCAGGATATCGGCGATGCAAACAACCGGCCACTCCGAACTCTCGGCACAATTAAAATGCCTGTGAGGTTTGGACGTTTCGTGGCCGCAGCCGAGTTTATTGTATGCGAAAAACTCGCAGTCCCGCTAATTCTAGGCGCGGACTACTGTGACCGGTTTGTGGAAGCAATTTATCCAAGGAAGAAAACGGTTGAGTTGGCGAATTTCTCGGAGGTTCCGATAGTTAGGCGGTTCTCGAGAAAAGGGAAGAAGAATCTCGTCCCGGGAGAGGACTAGAATGATGGAAAGGGGGAGCGAATTTCCCCCAAGGTAAAAGTGGCAAGAGCCACGAATATCGAACCAGGGACGCAACGCGTCGTTGAATGCGCCTCGAAGAGGACGGGCTTGGTTGTGGTTCAGCCGTACTCGTCGTTGTACGAAAGGCACGGGTTGACGTGCACGAATTGTGTCGTTCAGGTTGAGCCTAACAGGCCATTTCGTTTACTCGTGGCGAATTTTAGGACGTACCCTGTCAGGGTGCAAAAAGGACAAGTGGTGGCAGAATTATTACCGCACCCGAGGGCCGTCCTTGAGGGCCAAACCACCACCGGTGAGGTTCTCGAAATTCAAGAAAGGCAGAAGGAAAATTTTCCTCATTTTACCAAGACGCCTACGGGCGAGACGAGATGCGAACCGTCGGATCAAGGCCGCGCCAGCCTGGCGAACGGTCGGCAGGGCTCTCCGCACCGGCATCTACGAAGCCGCAACGCAGGATTGAGCCGCCGCTACCGGACGTGGAGGAACTCGACCTGAGCCACGTGCCGGACCGGCTGCGCGAAGAATTCCGTCGCATGTTGAAGAAATATTCAAGGATGTGGGATGGGACGCTTGGTGAAATTAATACCACAGTCCATCGGATCGAGTTGATTCCTGAGACTCGTCCCATCGCACAAGCCCCGTATCGGGCAGGACCGAAGGCCCGAGAGGTAGAAGATGCAGAAGTGCAGAAGGTGTTAGAAGCAGGAGTCATTGAACCGGCGCAGTCAGAATGGGCGTCGCCCGTATAATTGGTACTCAAGCCGGACGGCTCGATGCGATTTTGTGTTGATTATCGTAGGTTAAATGCGGTAACGGTGAAGGACACTTACCCCTTGCCAAGGATGGATGAATGTCTCGATTCGTTGGGAGACACCAAGGTCTTTTCCGCGCTCGACGCAATTTCCGGATATTGGCAGATGCCTATCCCGGAATGCCATCGCGACAAGACCGCTTTTTCATGCCACTCAGGTTTGTACCGATTCTCAAGAATGCCCTTCGGGCTTACCAACGCGCTGGCGACGTTCCCGAGAGCCATGGATATACTGCTCTCTCCGTTCCGATGGAAGTCGTGTCTGGTGTATTTGGATGATATCATCATTTTCAGCAAGTCTTGGGAAGAACATATGGTTCACGTGGATGAAATACTGTCAGTATTAGAGAAGGCATGAGTGAAGCTCAAGCTTCGCAAGTGCGAATTTTTCGTCGAAAAGATCAAGTACCTGGGCCATGTCGTTCGGCCAGGTACGTTGGAGGTCGATGCCGCTCACATCGCCGCGTTGGAACAAGTGAGGTCCCCTCAAACGCAGACCCAGCTCAGAAGCTTCTTGGGACTTTGCAATGTGTACCGTCGGTTTGTCCCACATTACGCGAAAATCGCGCATCCGCTCAATCAACCACTGAAGAAGGGACAACCGGTCCAGTTGGAAGGATTCGACGAACTGTGTAAGAAAGCTTTTCATAAGCTGAAGGAGGCCATCTTGGCACCACCGGTGCAGGCACTGCCAAAGAAGGACCTTCCATATTCGGTGGATACCGACGCAAGTGATTATCAAATCGGAGCTGCATTATTTCTAACGTATCCGGATGCACAACGAAAACGCATCGGGTTCTTTCCAGAACGTTGGCCGCAGCCGGGAGGAATTATTCTGTATCAGAGAAGGAATGTTTGGCGGTTATTGGGGCCGTCCAAACTCTAAGACCATATCTATACGGCGAGCACTTTATCGTGCATACCGACCACGCCTCGTTGAGGTGGTTGATGAACGTAACTGACCCAAGTGGGAGATTAATCCGATGGAGGCTACGCCTCTCGGAATTCGACTTCGAAATCAAGTACAAGAAAGGAAAGGCAAACAGCCAGGCAGATGCCTTGTCAAGGCTGTTAACGCAAGGAGGAACCGTCGACGAAATCAGCGATGAAATCCCATGTTTTATGGCCGAACCGGCCAACGCTACAGAAGACGATAAGGAAGATTTTGAAAGGCTGGACGACATCCTCGCTCTTCAAGGGGGGCCGCCTCCGATCGCCTCGATCACTTCCAAGCTGTCGCTCCGGAGGAGCTTATTCGCGAGCAGTCTGTCGACCCTTTCTGCAGTCGAATCAAGGAGGAGATGAACGCTGGAAAAGCGAGGACGTTCACAACGGAGGCATGCCTCCACTCCAGTGGAATTCGAAGGAACTCTATGCCGTACTGCGGCAGAGTTTGTACAAGTGGTGATACCGCAATCGTTAAGGGACCGCATCCTAGGGCTGAGCCATTACGCAAAATTAGCAGGCCACCCTGGAGACAGGAAACTGTACAAGACATTAAGAAGATATTTTTATTGGCCTACAATGGCACTAGACTGCTACGCAGCTGCGAAGAATTCCGCCGAATGCGCACGAGAAAGGGTGAAGTTGAGAAGGAACACGAAGGAAATGAAGTTGTTCACACCCAATGCTCCGCTGGAGTTTGTCGCTATCGACATACTCGAAGAGTTAATTACCACAAAGCGAGGAAATGGATATATCCTCGTGATCAGCGATCGATACTCAAAATTGGTACGAACTGTACCACTCAAGAAAATTACCGCTGTGCATATAGCGCAAGCGTTCGTACATCTTTGGGTATTCATATATGGACCGCCGATCAAGCTGCTGTCCGACAACGATACGCAGTTCACGCCACCGTTCTTTCAGAACATTTGTCGGATTTTGGGAATACGCAACGTCTTTACGACGACATATCATCCGCAGGCCAACGGCCAAGTTGAGAGGTTCAATCGTACGCTGACTTCCGCGTTGCGATAGTACGTTGGAGAACATCCTAAGGATTGGTATCTGTTCAGCGACGCTATAACGTTCGCGTATAATACGCAAGTTCATCGAACTACGAACATTGTGCCCTTTGAGCTGGTATTAGCTTGGGCCCCGAGAAGTCTAGCTCTGCAAGCGCAACCCAAGTTGGAGGAGTTCAGCTCGCCACGAGCCTACTATCTAAAATGGAAATCATGGTTGGAGAGTCTGATAAAGACCGCAGACAGGAGCTTACGCAAGGAACAGGCGAGATATAAGCGAAATTTCGATGCGAGAATTTGCAAGCCGAAGTACGACATACCCGTAGGGTCTTACGTGTCCCTTCAAAAGGAGCAAGGTACGGCTACGGAACCTAAACACAAATTGGCACAAGTGGCCACGGGTCCGTATGCAGTTAAGCAGTCAGAAAGGAATACGGATGTCATCGCCATTGGTGATCAGGAGGAAAGTGTTTCGAGAGATCGAGTAGAACTGGCCCCAAGTCCGAAGAAACAATCGCCCACATCAGGTCTACATCGGCCCTACAGTACCTAAGCGGACACGTGACAGATCAAGGACGGGACGCCATGGAGAGTGAGGACGACCCTCACGCGCGGGCGCAGACACAAGAGGTCGAGGAAAATTTAGTTAGTCGAAATCGGTCAGCGGAGATACCGCAAGACCTACAGCAGATAGTTCATTCAGAAGAGTTAGTGACATCGGAGGATCTTCAGGAGGGGGAAGTAAGTAACCCCGGACGCGAGGGAGAGGATAAGGATGCCGAGTATGTGATAGAGAAGATCATCGACCACGGGTATCAAGGTGAGGAATTAATCCTCAGGGTGAAATGGTATGGATATGGGACGAAGGACGGGACGTGGGAACCGGTTGCGCAATTACCGCGCAGCGCCGTCGTGAGATACTTCCGAAGGAAAAAGTCAACCTTGCCGTCACAAGTTGCGCGCGCACAAGCAGGGTAACCCGTACCAGAAGGTCGTCGAGTTGGAAGTGATACTGTGAACCGCAGCACGAAGATAGGGAGGAATGGACACTGCAGGAGTAGAGCGCATCGGTGATGACGAGAAGGAGAGAGGAGACAAAGCAAGTGGTTTTGCATTGCCTACCGCTCACGGAGACAGGGTTGCGAGGGGCGCTATGCCAAGAATTGAGGACGTCACCGGAGCGCTCAGATGAATCGTCTGATCTTGGAGGAGACGTCAGGGGCTCGCGAGGTCGCCGGGGAGGCGTCGGAGGTGGTCGTGCTTGCGGCGCCCTCGTCGCCGCTGGGGGACGCGGGAGTAACGGTGACCCCGACGGTGCCCGCCTCTGCGGGGCTCGTGCCCCTGGAGGAGCGCCCTGCGGGACCGCCGCAGGTTGAGGAGAGGGAGGGGGTTCGCAAGGAAGACCTCGCGGACTACAAGGAGGGAAACAACCCGTGAGATCGGCTGATCCCCACGACAGGTAAACCGAGTGGTTGGGAGCTCGTCGAATGCTAGGGTAAGGCGACGCGAGGTCGGGAGTGGAAGTCACAGTTCACTGCTGTGGAAGATTGCCCGTCAGTGACATCGCCGGACGGGGAGTAGTTCTTGGACAGCCCGAGGAAACAAACGATGCGAAGTGTGTAGTAGGAGCCTAGCTCGTCGCCGTGTGGGATAGACCGTTAGCGATCGGCGCTGTACTGGGGTAGCTCTCGTAAGGTCCGAAGAATTAAACGACACGAAGTCGGCTGTAGAAGTCACAGCTTGCAGGTGTGTTAGATAGACCACCCGCGGTCTGCGCTGTACGGTCAGTAGTCCTCGTAAGGTCCGAGGAATTCAACGACTCGAAGTCGAAAGGGGAGGCCTGCCACCAGGAGTTGGCACGCGGGCCGCAGCGGTAGTTGACTTCCTCGCGCGAAGCGCGGCTCTGGTCCGGGGCGAGGGCGGCTAATGACATGGAGGTCGGCTGTTGATTCCCCAGGTTTTGCAGAACGCGAGGGTAGGTTGTCAGCGAGCTGACGCTCTACGATGGGGGGACGCGTCAGAGCGCGGGAGGAAAACGACTCTGAGTCGAGTCGGGGTAGCGCGCCGTCTCTCAGCGTAGGTGGATCGTCGGCGGTGTCCGTGCGGACGCGAGAGACGCGGAAGACCCAGGTGGATACCACAGTAGGTTGAACGTTGTATAAGAGAGGCACTTCGAACTCCATTGCTTCTCTTCTCTCTTCTTCAAGTCGTCGCTTGTTCTCCCACCTCCCTCCCTCAGCTCCTGTGCTCATGTCACCAAGTCATCACTGTGTTCTGTTTTTTTCCTTACTCTTTCTTGCGATGGCTTAACCATTCAAGAATGTTTCACTCTCACGCTCAGTAAGATAACGCGACCTTCAGTCGCTTCTTGCGCTTGCTTACTTCGAATGATGGCGTTATCGCTTTGTTACCCTACTACTTTAGGTACGAAAAACTCGCGCCACGCGAAGGCGGATAACGGTTGCGAATCTACCCTTTCGGGCGGGTTTAATCATTCGGTTAATCAGGCACTGTAAGCATCTTTAGACCGAGTTCCATTCAGAGTCATTAGGTAATTAAGTGTAATATTGTATCTTCAACACTATACACTTGTAAATTTCAGGCCTAAACGTTAAAGCATGAAGACACGTGCTCCGCCGGGATAATGCTGCTGGCAGCAACGTTTGGCACCAAGCGTTGATGGGGAGAGCGTAATTCAGCAGAGTACCCTTGGGTACTGTTACCCGACGAAGAATAATTTCTACGCGACACGTGGTATATTCACCGACCGGTGCCGAGTGCCTAGCTAGGCCTCAAAGCGCGGCGCCACCAGACAGTGACGGGCGAAAGGGCCGCGGAAGGAGGAGGACGTGTGGCGCGAAGAGGACGCTGGGCGCGAGGAGGACGTTGGGGGCAAGGAAGACAGCCGGCCAGTTGATCAACGCGCCGCGCGAGCAGCGGGCACTACCGGGGCGTGCAGGGGGATTACGGTCGGTCGGAGGGGACCAGGGGACCAAGAAAGGGGGTTTTGCAAACGGTCGCATTGTCGGCCGGTGGGGGCTGGTGTCTGCTCTGTGGTTGAGGAGAGGGATCGTGGCCAGAGACCGCGGATATCAGTACTATAAGGTAGGGGCGGTGGGCACATAGGGATGGCATCGAGGGAGCACGAGGCGAATTGGAGGTAAACTGGAGGACTAGCATCAGATTTTGCTGCGCGCTCGGTCGGTGAGGTATGTGGCTTGGACCGGCCGCAACAGGCACAATGACGTTGTCCGTAAAGTCACGAAAACGCGTGTTTTGGCGGCGAGTTTGCTCGGATTTTCTGAACGCAAATTTCTCAAACAACGCGTTTGGCAAAACTCACAGCATACCAAAAAGTCGCGGCATGTGAGTTTTCCACGAGTTTCACATCCGCCGGATCACAGCAGTGCGGGATCAACCCGTCGTGAAGAAAAACGAAGGTGGTCTTCCGTTCTTTTCATCAGCACAAACGAGTCTCAGATTGCACGGATCGTATCGATATGCGTTATGGACGCCCCTATCGCTTCATCTGCGCAGAGTCCATCAATGGATCAAAGCGCGACAGGATCTGCCACAGATGCCGCCGAAGCAACTGCGAAAGATAGACAAGTAGAAGCTTCTAAAAAGCGGTCCTCTCTAAACGGCCCCCCTCAGCCTGTCAAGAAGACGAAACACATCGCCCTTTCGACTGAGAGCCTTCTATCCTTGTGGCAAGCTACAACATGCGCTTCAGCGAGTATTCGCGCAGGCGCACGTGATCCGTCGGGCGGCACAACGATGTACCAGACTTGCGTTTGTTGCGGGCAGGTACCTTGCGTGAGGTCAGTCCGCAAAACTCGTGGTGGGATTTTTCAAACTTGGGTTTATTTTACGTTCAGCGAGTTTGTGGGTAAAAGGAAAAAAAACAACGCGTTATTTTACGGACAACGTTAATAAAAAGAAGGAAAGAGGTGCAAAAATCGCCAATGCCAAAGTACAGTAACGTCACACATCCAAAAACACGCCTACATCCCCTATCAAAACGGCGCAACTTGATGACGCAGTCCACAACCTCACCAAGACTTCAAAAAGAACAACCGCACAACATCACCCTGTCCGCACCAGTTCCGGGGGACTCTTCCTTTTGGTTCACAAAGTATAACCACTTCCACTGTCACATTAAATCCGAGGGTTCCAGAGAGAAATTGAGGTAGGACTTCATGTTTTGCGATTAGGCCTGGACGAAGCCGACTTTATTTTCGTCAAAACTGTGGCAGATGTCCTCCATATGCCCTAACATCGCCTCACACGCTCTCTACGACCCAGCATATCTCCCGCTCCCAGTCTGCGTCCCACAGGTAAAATGGCTTGTGCCCACCTGCGCACTCCCATTTCAATATGGTGCCCGATGGTTGGGGAACTTCATTACCCTTGTGCAGAACTCGGCCTCCTTCAAATGCTCCCACTCCAGAGTCTGCAACAGTGTTTCCTTAAAAACCGACATTTCCTTCGACTCTATTGTCTTCGATGGTAGCGCTCCGTAGAAAGTGTCCATCAGCTTCAACGCAACGCCGCACCGCTTTCGTCGCACCTCGCGCTTCGCAGCAAGTAGCAGTAAATCCTCGTTTGTCACAGAGCCGTCGCGGAGAGTCGCGCTCCTTGACGACCCCGGAATAGACCCTTTCCCATCTAGTGTCACCCATCGGCACAGCTGCTTGATCGCATTTTCGAAATCGTCCGGTGCTGCCTTTGCCACGCTTTCATCGCCCTTGTACTCGTCCTTCTCAGTGCTTGATCCTATGCCTGTACTTGCCATGTCAGCAGAAACATCAGAGTTGGAAAGTTCACACAGAGCACGTGCTTTCCTGAACAACGCTTCTACTAGCTGCCCTTTCTTCTTCTCAAACTTCTTTCTTTGACAAGCTTCCTCCTTCGATTCGGGGTCTATCATCATCCCGAAGTGAGTTGCAATTCCACATGCATCCATACGACTAATCACCTTATCAGCCTTGCTTGCCAAGTCTTTCAAAATTTCTTTGTGTGCATCTGACCCCTTGTTCTTTCGCGATTCAGAACACCCCTGCACGTCAAGTTTCTCGAGTCCGAGCAGAACTAGTTCAATGTCTCTAGGATATTTTTCTTCCATGGATTGATATAAGATTTCAAACTCTGAAATCTTTCGCCTTTTCAGCAACGAGCGCAGACGCTTGACCTTCAATTTTCTGACCGCTTCCTCAAACCATTGGAAAGGATCTCCTTTGATTGTTCCGTTCGGCTCTGACTTTTCGCTATCAACCACCTTGTCCTCATCATTGCGATCTGGCTCCTCCCTTTTGTCTTCGTCTTCAAGCTTCTCACTGTTTTTGTCCATTTCAGTCGCCTCATCATTCTCACTTGACCGAAGAGGCGTCCTCGCTGAGTCACTCTTTTGCGAACTGCCTGCATTCGGGCCGATCGCGAGGGACAACTTGTATGAGGGTATATCGCTACCTTTTCTTACGCTGTTTCCACTTCCATTCAGCAACTTATCCACAGACATTTTCCCAACTGCACTGTCTCCCCCAGCTATCCACTTGGGAAGTGCAGATTTCTTTGGTAGCCCGAAATAAAAAGCCCTTCGCTCCCCGCATTCAAGAGATGCCGTACTGCGTGATGACCTACGACCTTCGATGCCCATCGATGCCGCATGGGCGCTCTCGAATGCTTCCAAAACTATTTCAGACGAGAGCTTAAATTCTACAGTTAACTTTTGTTCTCGAAGTCCCTCGAGTAGATCGACCCGGTCGTGGCGCAGGTATGCGGTCACAGAGTATTCGCCTTTCGTCAGAGTGCGAGTTTGCGGGTAGATATCGGAGGCGAAGAGGAACTGGTTGTTCTTGTCGTGTACGAGAACAAACGGGCCTCCGTCAATCTCGCTTTCATAGACAGTCCGATTCAAACCTGGGAATATCAATTTTACAGACGAGGAAGAATCGAAAACCTCAAACTTGTACTCCAGTTGCAACTGAGAGATGACGCCGACTTCTGGGAGCACGTCTCTTCCGCCCAGTGTGCGGATCTTCCCCTTGCTAGGGGCATAGACACGTTGAATATGTGTTAAGCTCCCACGTGGAGTGTACCCAGATATTAATGTCGGGCAATTGTCCAGAGAGGACAAGAATGGTAAATATCTGACCGCTTCGACACGAGGAAAGCAAGATGCCCCTGCGGAAGCATGCACCACGTTTGGATTGGGAACGACACCCCCAAAGACAAGTTCCACTCGGTCTATGAGCGAAAGTCCAGGCGATGACCACACCTGTGCCAAGCATAGTTCCAACACTGATCCTCCCTGCACTTGAACGATAGATTCTTTCACAGTTCCAGGTCGAAGGGTGAAGTTTTGGCGAGTTTCAAGTTCGGCGCAATGCTTGCGCGGGCTTATCTGCACAATATGCGCGACGAAGTTCCTTGCGTCAGCACTCCCTAACACAACGCTGGACTTGGTCGTGAGATTGTCGCTGTATGCCCTATTGTCGCTGGGCGCATCTTCAGCTTTTGCCGATTCCGTCATTTTGACATTTGATGACACGTGGTAGGCGTCACGAAAGCTTGCATCAGCCGTTCTCGATTTCATCGACGTAACTGTTCCATACTCGGACGTTTGCCGTGGTCGTCCAGAGACATCCGAGAACTCTGCATAACCATCCATACTGCCTGTTCGGTCGTTCCCGACACCGAGAAACGTCGCACTTCCAGTCACAATGCGCAGCAACGCGTACGTTGCCCCCACGGGAGCCTCGTAAAATCTGCGAACCACAGATCCCGGTGCAAACAAGACTTCTCGAAGAGGGTTTATCATTAAGCCGTCGACAAGCGGCTCTGGTTTATGTACGACGACGGGAACCCGGAAAAGAGGTCCCTTTTGACCAGATAACCCATCTTCAGAACGCATGAAGCCAAGGATTTCTGTAAAGTGAGCGCGACCACTTGACAGCTCCACAGGATCGACGAAAACAGGGAATTGCCGCCCACCCCCAAGGAGAACAAGAGACGATGGCACTTCGACCCACGAAGCCTTGCATTCAAGGATTATGGTCGCCTCTATGCTCGCTATGGCCCTCTTTGTCTGTGGGCAGTCTTCCGCTCGGGGGGATGCTTCAATGGCAACTGAGGCGCGCTGCTTGGACCGAGTTTCGGCTGTCCCGCGAAGAAAGATACCATGTGTCGTATTCATCGGTCCGAATCCGGTGCTGTTCGACCCTCGACGGGCGGGGGAACCATCCTCCACGCGAATTGATATTCGCCACTCTTCAAGAGAGACAGGATCCTGATCACTCCCAGGAGAGGAATGTGTCTCTCTTCCGCCATCCGTACAAGTCTCAGACTTGGCACCAGAATGCTCTCCGCCGCTGCCACCACCACCACCACACGGCTTGTCCGACAGGGAGGCTGTCCGACCTGCTTCAGTAGAACTGTTAAGATTCCGAGAGGCATCGCGAGCGGCAGCATACTGCTGCAGATACTCGCATGCCGCAGAGGCATCTATACTCCCTCGCCCACATGCGAAGACCAAATCTTGGTAATAGTCAGACTCATAGGCGTCTGACGACTCGCCCTTGCCAGAGGCAGAAGCGAGTTTCGATTTCTCTCCAAGGGACGGCCCCAACCCTGGAGGTTGCAATGGCCTTGCTGTGTTCTCAATAGCCCTGCGAATCAAGGCAGACGTGTACGGAAGGCGGTTCTTTTTCAGAAACGACACAATAACCGCAACCGCACCTGCAGCGGAGGGAGACGACATGGACGTTCCATTCATGAGCATTTTCTTGCGCAGCATCCAGAGCGGGACGGGGGCAATGGCACCCCCCGGGGCGCAGATGGACACGCCGAGAGCGCCATTCGAGACCGGCCCCCTCGATGACCACGTGTACGGGACGCCGGCTACGGCGTTGGCGTCGTTACCAAACTGGTGCAGCGTGCCCTTGTCCGGCGGGTGGTGGCGGACCGGGGTGGAGGTACCTGGCAGGGCGGGCGGGGTTGGCGGGTGCTTGGAGCCGAACTCGGAGTGCAAGAGCGAGTAGGCCTGCGTGAGCATCTCGGGGGTGACGTAGGCGCCGACACCGATGAGGGAGTCGGTGGTGCCGCCGGGGGCCGAGACGGAGGACAGGGCCGGGCCGTCGTTGCCCGCCGAGCTGAGGAAGAGGACGTTGTGGTTGTGGACGAGCTTGTTGACCAGGGCGACGAAGCGGCCCTTGTCAGGGTCGCGCGTGTGCTCGCCAAAGCTCATGTTGACGACGTCGATCTTGATGCGGCGCGACTCGGGTTTGACAGAAGCGGGACGCCCAGCGGGGACATTGTCGGTGGAGGACGTTTGCGGCACTTCCCCCCCGGGCGGACACGCGGACGCGGACGCTGACGCGGACGCGGACGGGGAGTCGGACTCGAGCTCGGACGCGTTGCTCTCTGGCGAGGGCTGCGGGGGTTTGGAGGGAAGCGGGTGCGGGTGGTTTACCTGAGGTGGAGTGGGGCGGGTGGCGGGCGAGTCGGTGGCGGGTGACTCGGGGGCTTGGGTATGGTTGAGCAGGTATGCGAGGGCGCGGGTGGTGCCCTGGTGGGTCTCCATGCTGGACAGGCGCGAGTCTCCGATCTTCAAGCTGACGATCTGTGCGCCGGGGGCGAGGCCGTTGAGGTGCGGTGCGTCAGGGTAGTTTGCGGCGACGATGCCCGCGACGTGGGTGCCGTGACTGCCACCGTCGACGACGATGGAGAGCAGGTTGCCGCGGTCGTAGACATTGACGCCAAAGTGCATCATGACGCCGGCGCCAAACTCGGCGTAGCGGCAGCGGACGTGGTAGTCCTCGAGGACGACGCACTGGTCAAGCGCACCGCGCTCCGTGGTGTCGACGACGGCCCTCCAGCGGGTGCCGTCGTGGAAGACGAGGCAGTCGTACAGTGGGCCGAGGTCGTTGTAGTTTTTTTCAGCGGCGAGCAGGACGGTCTGGCGGGCCTCGAACTCCTCGACGAGGAGGTTGTGCGGCGGGGAATCCGGGGCGTTGGGGGCGGCGGCGGCGGCGGCGTCCTTGAGCTCGGAGAGTCGCTTCCTGACGCGGTTGAGGGCTGCGCGATTGGCCTTGTCCCACCTGGAGCGGCGCTCCTTGCGCAGGCGTGCGACGAGGGAGTTGGGGAAGAGGTGGTACGCGGCCTTGACACCGAGGTGGAAGGTAGCGTCCGGGCACGCGTCGCGGATGGCGCGGGTGAGGCGGAGCGTGCGGCCGGTGAGTCCGGTGAGGGAGGAGGCGGCGGCGGGGAGGACTGCGACGGTGGAGGTGTCGACGTCGCCGGAGCCGGTGCAGTCGAGGATGTCGATGACCTTGGGTGCGCCGGAGGTGGTGCGTCGGAGGCCGGCGGCGGCCGGGTCGAC